CCAAATCTTTTACAAACATAACTTCTCTAGAAACTAGAAAATTTAAAAGAAAGAAATTTGTTACAATAGCAGCTCCCAGGATATACAACAATCTTTTTTTCATCTGTACTGCATCTAAACCAGGAGCTTTTATTCAATTCTGGGTTCCTCTGGAAGGAAAACTAGTTTTAATGAAATGTTACACAATGACATGGCAAGTAACATATAGAATTATACTGCTCTTAACATTCTTATTTCATTCATGACTATTTTAATTATCTCTCCCCGTGCTCTCTGACATGTGTTGTAAAAAAAACACCAAACACGAATGTGTTTCTGTCTACGTGTTGCCACACTTCCTCCTACAATCAAAACACTAACGTGTTAAAATTCAACATAACGAGACCTCTTAACACACCCTACTTTCAACTCTAAACCCTGAGGTACTATTCTAAAAGTGGCTAACTCTAAAGTGTAGCGTCAGAGAGCCTAACTACATCATTCAACCTTTACCACATATTCGCCATGATTTAATCTTTACAGTCACACGAATAACAAATTTTTAACATTACTTTCACTTTTACCATATCACGGTATTTCTTAACATTTAAAATAACAGTTCACATGTATATAAGAACATATCAACATGCCGTTAATTTTACACATTTGAAAAACATACATTAGTAGTACATTGTTAACTTCTATTCTTTTCAAAGCAAGTGCCAATTCTTTCTACATTGAAATAATACTACATTTCAAAAAGTCTTTCAGACTAAAACTTCTTTCTTGCTAGAATGTTTTAAATAAAATTTATACAATAACTTTTTACAATATTTAAGTCTTTACACAACGCTATTATACATCAACTTTAGTTTTACGCGCGAGTAATTTGAAAAACATAATACGAAAATCGGTCACAACTCATTTCTCGCCCTTTTGGCGATAAAGGTAGACCTCGCATGAGGTAAAACTTCTTGAAATCTGCCACTTGCAGTAAGAATGAAAGATTAACTTAAGTTTGTAAAGTAACATAAAATTTTACTTATCTTTGTAATATTCGGACATCCTTTTCTGGGCCCAGTCTTTAAAGGTACTGCAGACAGTAGCTTGGTTTATCCTCCTTCTTCTACGGGCTCGCCCTTCAGTGCTTTCCTCTGGAAGCTTCCTTTTTTTCACCAGTACGGCCACCCTTGAATACCTTCCTTTTCTCCTCTGCTTGTGGTCTTTGGCCGTTTGATGGCAGCTGGTCTTGGCGGAACCGGGAAACTTCTGTCGTGATCCTGCTTGGACCTCGTTGTTGGCCGTTCAAATTTTTCTTGTACTTTTTTTTCCTCCGCCGCTGATGGCCCTTCCGCAGTTCGGCGACCTTTGCTGCGGAGAGTTCTGTCGGATGAGTAGATCTTCCGTTTTATTATTCCGTTATTTCCGTCCGAAAGCCGGGTTATAGTTGCCGTCATTTCTCCTGGTCCTCTTCACATACGTCGTCCTTCTCCCTTCTTCATTCTGGGGGTGTTCGTGAACTCTGTTTTCTGGACGGTGGAACGGCTTCTTTTTCTTGTTACCTTCCATTTTTCCGCGGGGCAATTTTCTTTTCACTTGCTTCTGTCTCTCATTGGCTTGCCCTTGTACTTGTCGTTTTCCCACCTCTGGAACTTGTACCTGCGGTGTCTGCCGTGCCGGATCCTGCAAAAGATCTGAAAAGATTTGCATTTTATTACGATCGAAGTAGGGCTTGATTTGATCAATGTTTGCGGAACAGGTTTCACCATTTTTCTGGCTTTTAACACTACAACAGCGTGAGTTATTTTTTCTATAACATATGGTCCTTCAAATCGTGGAAAAAATTTGGCAGTTTTATCTTCTGGTGCTGAAGAAAGTGAATGCTTAATTTTTAAAACTTCATCCCCTACTTTATAAGTTACTCCCCGTCGTTTCAAATCATAATATAATTTCTGTTTTCTTTGTGCTACTTCCGTATTCTTTTTTGCTTCTTTTATTAGTTTTTTTTCTATATCACCCATTTTAAATTCTGGGGCTCTTTGTTGCACATAAAATAAGTTTATCTAACGGTGTTATAATCTTTCTGCCTAGAAATAACTCAGCAGGAGTTTTGCCCGTTGTATCATGTTGTATCATGTTTTGCGGTCCTAAGGGCGAAAGCAAATTCATTGACATAGTTATCCCAGCTTTTATGAAAATTTTTAACATAACTACGGATAATTTTCACTATATTTCTGTTGACCCGTTCCGCTATATTTGATTGCGGCCGATACGGGACCATTTTTAAATGACGTATGCCCAGTTTTTGGCACATGTCTTCAAATATATTACTTACAAATTGAGGACCATTATCCGATATAACTTTTAGGGGCGCCCCGTATTTTAAAATATATTTATTTAAAATAGAATCAGTAACTAATTTCGCGGAGGCTCGTTTTAAGGGAACAATTTCGGTCCATTTACTAAAATGATCAACCATAACAAGGAGATAGCGACTTTTATTTAACTGACTTTTTGGGAAAGGGCCCAATAAATCGATGCCAATTATTTCATTTGGAAATTCGGATTTAATACTATTTAGAAACCCGGCCGGGCGGAAATTAATATAATTAACGGCTTGACATGTTGGGCAGGACTGGACATACGCCCTTGTTAACTTTTGCAGTTCAGGAAAGTAGACTGCCTCGCGTACGCGTTGGATAGTTTTTCGAATACCAGCATGAGAAGCTAAAGGGCTGTCATGGAGCTCCTGCAGGATATTTAATCTAAGACTAGCTGGGATAACAGGTCGAAATTCGTTGTTGGAATTCGTAGTTTTTGTATAGAATAATAGACCATCTATTAGTTCGTAATGGGCCGCCCTATTTCTTATCGCCACAATATCTTGGTGGCTAAAATTTTCAGGATCCTTTAAATACTCATAAATACTTCCATAAAAATTATTTTTCTTAGATTTAAGTTTATCCTCCTCAACATAGTCATCCTCGATTCCAGGCATTTTTCGTCTTCCTGAGTAGATGGTCACTTTATAAATATGACGTTCAGTGACCTTGAGAATGATACTGCCTGGGAAGCGCATTGTTGTTTTCACTTAGTGTTTCTTTTTAACCCGCGATTAATAATGAACTTTGAATAGCTCTCCTTTTTTTTTAACGATTCCTGTAACTGTTGTTACATTACAAAGATCGTTTTCAGAGTTCATTCATCAAAAATTACAGATGAAATGCGACTGGACAAACACGATTAAAATATCTTTCGCTTCTTGTCATCGAGGATGAAGAGGCATAAAAATGGACTGGAAAAATGCAATAGATTCTTCTGCCTCAACAAAAGCACGCAAACGATCTCTACGAGTATGTATTTCATAAATCCAATTTATTATTAAGAATGTAATTTGATTAATGCTTTTTACTCCAGTCATTGATTGCGTCTGTATGGTTTTGTTGTTAATAAATTGCGTTTGTTATTAAAGTGAACTGTTAAAATATTAAATAATACTCAATTATTTGACTTTGTGAATGAGTGCATAGCTGTCGGTGTTTGAGCAGAATATCTTGCTTGAATAGTTTCTGCTTAATAGTAGCTAGTAAAAGTGGAATACATATAAATCTTAAGTCATCTTTTTTATGTCAAATCAGAAGCATTTTTTTTTTCTTATTACGTGCTCCGCCCTTAGGCACTGCACGGAAAGGGAGGGATGCCCGTGGAGGTCTTTTTAATGGAAACTGGCTCGTATCCACGTTATACATGAGGAAAACCACGAAAACGCCCATGCAGCCAGCCCGTTTTCCAGCACTCGAACCCGGACCGAACTACCACCGTTCAGAGGCTTTTACCGCTCGGCAGTTGGTGAGCCAATCAGAAGTATTTAACATGTATTTTTTTCACTTAAAGGAAATTCTGTTTTAGTGTTTAACAAAGGCAAATTCTTACAGACGATTAAAAGCAAAACTATATAATTTATGATTTGTATTTGCAATAACTCAGCTTATTTCCAATACAAATCACAAATTATGAAGCGTGATTTCTCAAGAGAATATTTTGAATTGAAAATGGTTCATTAGAGTCGATCAAGCTGTAAATACTGACAATTTATCAATTAAAGAACCGTACTCTGCGTTTGATGTTAGAAAACACTTTAGTGGAGTACCCAAAAGTGTTGGAGCATTATGTTACGCTACGTTACGCTACCTTTGCACGGAACGTATTATCTTTAATTATCTTCTGCCTGGCGTAGCAAATAACAATATTCGGTTTACAAATATTTGCTATTCGATATGTCATAAGATCTTTAATTAATCTTTCCAATTATAACTGCTTAAAAAAATGAATGATTTCGAAAGAATAAATGATTTTTATTAATTTAATCATTGCCTTATTTTTAATATTACTTTAATTGAAATAGCTTATAATGAGAGCACATCGGTACTAAAGAGCATTTTAAGTATTAGGGTAATTAATAAAAAAAATGTTTCTATCACCGTGGTAATTTCTTTTTCAAAAGTAGCTTGGGCTTTTTGGGAACCTGATATGAAAGTGTTATTAAAATATTAACTGTCAATGAAAATAAAACAAAGCCCCTTTCATATATGCCAGGTGAAAACACAAAAAAGGGAAATAAGCACTGTTCATTGGTTTACTGTTTTGTTCAGTCATTAATAAAACAGTACTTATGAACAATAACGTCTTACAGAAGAAATATTACTGATTACAAAGTATTTGTCTTGCTCATTTCGATTATGAAATCAAATTTTCTATGCTCCACAGATTTATTACAGAAATTTCTTCCTATGTTAATGTTAGATGTCAGAGGTCACTCTTGGCTGTCCTTTTCAATGTCTGAAATCAGATTTGTAGAAGACTTTTATAAATCGGACTTTGTAAGTCAGCAAGAAAGAAGTATTCTTATCCGTGACTTCAGTTTATCGAAATGTTAGGCTTGGGTAAGGACATCAAGTTTACGAGGACGAAATTCATTACAAATTAGGATATTAGGACATCTACTATATTCACAAAAAGCAGCAAAAACTTTTAAAAATTGATTTTACAGAGAATGAAGCCTTGCTTGTACATAGCAATGATGAAGACTCATTACTTGATTTCTGGTACATCTACGCAGCTCTAAAAAAGATTGCTGTCATTTACTTTTCGAAAACTAGCTTGGAAACGTTTCACTGCATAACGGAAATAAATATCTGTTTGTTATATTTGCTTAATGTTACATATATGAAAATATAATATAAAAGCATGTAAGTTTCTCAGTAATTATAAGACTATTTCTTCTAATTTTACTCAGTAGCATACCTCTGAGAATGCAAAAGTAATAGCTCTAATCCCTGGACGAGCACTGCTGATTAGGAAACCTAAATGCTAGAAATAAAAACAAACATATTAAAAACTGTAATGTGGGTAGAGAATATTAACGTCAAAAGTTGAAATTGCAGTTTTATGAAATTTCAATAATTTCACAGAGAAGATAATTTCTACCTATTTACATCAAATTAGGCTTAATGAAAAATATGTGATAACAATTTATAGAAAAAGACAGAAATAAAATTTACCAAAATTGATGAATGAAATGCAGTAATTTAAGATGATTAAATTGATTATTACCTAAATGTGTTTCAAAAAATTACTTCCTTAGAGTTGTTTCCCAAGTAAACCATCGTTGATTCCAGATAATGTTTGAAATCTTAGCTCAGTTAATGGATATATGAATTATATTATATTTTAAGGATATATTTAAAGGACTGGATTATTCAGTTATGGCAAAGCACACGAGGGCTATCTGCCTAAAGGGAGGGATGCCTTCGTGGAGAACTTTCTAAGGGAAACTGGCTCGTATACACGTTACACATGAGGAAAACCACGAAAACGCCCATGCAGCCAGTCCGTTCGCGGGATTCGAACCTAACTACCAATGTTCATCGTCTTTACCACTCGGCAGCTGTTGGGTACCTACATTTAAAGGACTTAACCTCTAATTAAGTCTTTGAAAAGTATGGTGGCGAACTTTTTCTGTAATCCGAGCAATAAACTAAGAACGAATTGGGGAGCTTCTGGAAATAAAGCACTGACGTATAACAGTAACTTAAAATTCATTTTAATTGTAATGTATTAAAAGTTTTAATGCTGAAAGGGAATCTTAATTACAGAATTAAAGATGTAATTTAGTGAAACTTGAATAATTTAACAAAGAATGTAATTTCCGCCTGTTTATATGAAATTAAGCTTAATGAAAAACATATGAAGGCAACGGACAGAAAAAGACAGAAATAAAATTTACCCAAATTAATGAATAAAATGTAGTAATTTAAGATGATTAAATTTATTATCACTTAAATGTGTTTTAAAAAATTACTTTATCAGAGGTAAGTGCGCCTCTTCCTAAGACACTAGATAATTTTGGACCCTAGATACCCTTTCTAGGGCCTAGATAATATCCTTGATCCTAGATAATTTTGGAATCTTAGCTCAGTTAATCAATAAATGAATTAGCATATGTTTAAAGGACTTAACCCATAAGTCCTTTAAAAGTACGGTAGCGAGTTTTTTATACACCTAAAAACAATAAACTAATGAGAACTAATTGGTGATCTTCTGAAATAAAATACCGATGGTTAAGGTATACAGGTCTCTCAAGATTAATTTTCTGTTCCCCATCCTGCAAAGAACTTAGGAATCGTAATTTATTAACTTAAAGAATGCTTCCATCAGGATATATATGTGGAATGAAAATGCATTTGAAAGTATAATGAATTGCTAAAGTATTAGCTACTGGAGTTAGTGAAGGGACATATCATCTTCAACACATTAAAAATCAAATAGAATTACATTCAAAGGAATTTATCATTAAAGGTCATGCGACTGAACAAATTTTAAATGAAAAGTAATACAATGTAAAATAGTACCGCTTTAGAAAAGTAGTACTGGTCTTCAAGGTAATGCAACGGAAATCATGACGTTCAATGTTTGAAGTGTGGGTTAAAAAGTATGTAAATTTTGTTCTTTAATGTAATTACTTAAATATTTTGTTTTCTTGTACAATTTCTACAGCATTTGTCATTGATTTCTTAAAAGACAAAGGACGTTGCCAAACTGTCAGCTAAATAAAGTGATAAAAATACTCCAAAAATTTGAAAACCTGCTTACAAGCATTAAGAATTATACGAAATGGCTGTAATTACAAGTAAGAACTTAGTTCTTACGAGAAAGAAATGCTTTATGAAAGAATAAAATTATTTGAGTGAATCTATTTTCTCAATCTGAATGATGAAGAAAATGGCAGATTCCTGGTTTTGAGTGATTTATTTGAACTGTCAATCTGTATTTGAATAATGAAAAGCAGTAGCAGAGAAATAGATTGAAAAGTTGCTATTTATTAGTTATTACCCACTTCAAAACCTTTTATCTCTGTCTCTTTATATATTACTCACATGTATCTAAATAGTTGCTACCTGTCGCCTGGAGAAGAATCTGGGATAAGTATGCTTTGACATTGAAAAAGAGGTAAGGGAGAATCTATAATTTGCAAACGCTCCGTAAAAGGATAGACAGAAAGCATTAACACGAATAAAATAAATATTCAGCAATGTTTTCGAGAGAATTTGAATTCTTAGCCTTCATGATGTGATACGTTTAATGAAAGAAAACATTATACGATAAACAGGGGTATTATTCTATTACCTAAAATTAGGCAAACAATATCCTTGTAAAATTAGGCAAACAATATGGTTGTGTTTAGCGTAGATTTTAGTCAAACACGAGGTTACCGCTTTGTCTAATTTTATGTTTTAATTTGGGGGGTTTCACTTCTCCCTTGATTATATCATTAGTCCAATGGAGGAATTATTAGACATGCATCCGGACAGTCCTTTGAGCTTATGCTTCATTTTAATAACTATTCGATAAGGAAGTAAAGTGGCTACAGTTGAGTTCCTTGTTAAATGATGGATAAATTTTTAATTGTTTTATTATTTATAAAAAAGCAAATACAATTCCATATTACTTATTTAGTTTAAGTAATTTTTAATTACAGGAAAACCTTTTTAAAATTAAAATAGTTATTTTAATTTAATAATTATTATAATTAAAATAATTATTAACTTTCTTCTATTATAAATTAAATAAAATTTATAATAGAAGTAATTTAGATAATTTCAAATGTTCCACTGAAATTATGTAACACCTGCTTAATTAAAATATTTGTTATCCCCTTTTTCTTTTAGATAACGAAAAAATATTTTACATAATTTTTCACTATTTGAATTTTTTATTTAAAATAACATTTGAATAAATTTTAAGATTCGTCTGCCAGACGAACAGCCTCCATAGAATTTTTGTGGCTTTCTCCATGAATTTAGATTTATTATTTTAGCAAAGAACACTACGGTTGTCTTCCTAGTAGTTCGTATTTAGTTACATATGTAAGTAGCTCGTATTCAAGTTACATATGAGTAACGTTCATTTAGCCAGTCCTTTAACTGGAATTTTAACCCAGGTAAAAACTGGCAGTGTTCATCTAGTTTATTAAATCGCGCTCTTGCTCCATATGTAAAATGAATACGAGCCAGCTTACGTTGGATAACCCTTCATAAAGGTGTACCTTCTGAGGAAGATAACCCTCATGCGTTTCTCTGTTACCAATTAATTAACAATCCATGAACCGTTGGAATTTAGAAATTGTCACAATGCAAAAGGCACTGAGTGCATCATAGCGATAATTTAACTTCCTTTTTTAAGATAACATAAAACAGAGATGTATTTATTTATGTTTGAGATATATGGAGGTATAATTCTCCAAAAACCACCGTCTTTCATTTGGTTTTCATGATGCGTCAAGACTTAAAATGCTATTTATAAATTCGAACGAGCAATAAAATGGAGAGGAACAAAGGCATAAAATAATAACTGGTTTTGTCCACCAACTAAAAAATAACTATCTAGTAATTAAAAGCCATAGATCGAATGCTACATCATTACTCTTACTTTAATTCTCATTGTATAATTATTTCGTATTGAGAGACTTAATGACAAGTCAAAAAATGTAGAAAATATAACTTTTAATGTAAAGCAGCCCAGACGGGAAAGTGATTGGTGACTCTGACTGCGATACCGAAGTGTCCGGGTTCGTAAATTTTCTGTCCTTTCATGGGAAACAACGGTAGCTCACATCTAAGGCGCCTCCATAATAAAGTGACCACACCTTCCGGCCTTAAGTAGTGGCCAACGTTTATAATGGCTAGTTCTCGCCATTACGGGGGGGGGGAGAGAACTGTTATTATAAATGGCCAGCAGAAAATTATTTCAAATATTTTCCTCAGAAACCTGTTCGAAATTTAACACTGGAAAATAAAAATCTAAATATTTCACTTCTAATTTTGAAGTTGAGAAATTATTGTTTCTTAATTTTTTTAATAAATAGTGTTTCTGGATTTATTTGATACTAGCAGGCAAACCCGACAGATGATTGATACCAGCAGATTATTTGCTAATAATATTTTAAGATGTTGCAAAAGATTATTTCGTCATTTGCCTAGATGGCTTGCCCGCCAGACGAGCGAGCTGTGGCCAAAGCAAAATTTATAAGTTTTATGTGCACTTAAAAAGAAAATGTAATGTTGTAAAATTACACCATAACAACCGAAATTTTTAAGTTACGATTGTGTGTATTTATTTTGTTTTTGGTGTTTGGACCTAAATGTACAAGTTTCAGTTAGATGAAGAAATCAAAAGTTTATCTATTATATACTATTAAAAACCTCTGCTCGTCTGTCTGTTTGTTCTATCATCTCCTACGGAACGGCGGGGAGTTGAGTTTCGAGAGATGTACCTCCAATTTCCAAAAATTCGTAGGAAGCTATTTCGACCATTCTCATCTTTGTACGACTTTAGTCAGCTGAGATATTAATTAAAAACTCTGAAAACACTGGTTTTCGCACCCCGTAGGTCTTTTGCTGAACTTCATTGCTGTTTGGTTTGCTGCGTCGAAGCGCTTACCAGATGGAAATTTAAATTGCCATCCGCCTTCTCTAAACAGAGGTAGAGTAAAATGTTTTGAAGAATTATGCGGCCCGTTTATTCCTCCGTCACATTTTTTTGTGTTTTTTGACAATAAAGTTTTTATAAAGTTTCCATAAAAATAGTGGATTTTTAAAATGTTCAGTTTTTTGTTAAAATATGAAATAGCTCAACAAACTTCACAGATTTCGTTTTAAAGCCTTACCCAAAACACTTTCAGATAGTAGAAATGTGAAAATAAATACACACAATCGTAACTTAAAAATTTCGGTTGTTATGGTATAATTTTACATCATTACATTTTCTTTTCAAGTGCACATAAAACTTATAAATTTTGCTTTGGCCACAGC